TTGGTAGAACTGGTAAAATACCAAAATGATCAACAATTACAACTACAAGAAAGAATGGAAGAAAAATGGCAAAAGCAATTACTACAAAAGCAGAAGGAAAATCAAGAAAGACTAAAAGAGCTCCAGGAACTAATATTGAAAGTAGCAGGTAACAAGCAACTAGATATTGAAAAAGAGGCAATTTTTTCACAAGACGCAGTGTGAAATACCATAGAGATTTTCAAATATTCTCTAGATGAGGACAAAAATTTCAGAGATTACTTCAGAAGACATGAAGACATCTTTAACGTCGACTGTCAAAACTGGACAGAAGCAAAAAAGCTACGTCTATTGCTTAGAAAATTAGGTACTGAAGAATATACAAAGTTTGTGGATTATATCTTGCCAAAAAAGACGAACGAATTAACATTTGACGAAGCAATTATATGTCTTAAAGAACTCTTTAGTCCAAAAACATCACTCTTCCACAGGAGTTGGAAATGCCTTAACCTGGTAAAGGGCAATAATGAGGATCATTCCACGTTTGCCGCAATCGTAAATAAACATTGCGACGACTTCAAATTAGCGGAATTAACCCCGGACAATTTCAAGTGTCTCATCTTTGTTCAAGGGTTAGTTTCAACAAAAGATAGTGAAATGCGCAAAAGAATGCTTTCAAAATTACAAAATGAACCTGGACTAACACTACAACAATTATCAGAAGATTGCCAGAAATGTCTAAGTATAAAGAAAGACTCAAAAAGGACATTGAGGAGTCAGCTGTATCTCATTTACATAAGTTAAACAAAAGTCTACGTTCTTCACCCTCCCGGAAATCTTTTTAAAAATTTATAATAATGAAAAAGAAAAAAAAAACAAAAAATTCTATAATAAGAGAAAAAGTACAACATACAGGGCAAATTATGACGAAAATCGAAGCAAATATAAGCCCCCCCCCCATCAGCATGTTATCGATGTGGAGGACTACATTGGAACAAGAATAATTTTAAATATAAAAAACTGTCTTGATGTGGAAAAATGGGCCACAAGGCATCCCAATGTAGGAACAGAAAAGATACTAGTAGAATAAGAGCTACTAGGATGCATAACGAAGACAACATACCAACATATGTGGAATTTGAAATTTTAAATAAAAAGATAAAATTGCAACTAAATTCGGGTTCCTACCTCACAATAATCAACCTACAGACATGGAGAAAACTTAACAGACCAACCATGTTACATACACAAAAAATTGCCAAGTCGGTTACAGGCAAGCAAATAAAATTCAGAGAAATAATCGTGAATGTTAAATTTCACGGGAAAACAAAAAAACTTAAGATATATGTCATAAAAGATACTGAAAATCTAGTAGGTATCAACTGGATGCAAAAGTTCAACATTTGGGATCTACCTATCAGCTCTTTTTGCAAAAAGTTAGAGGTTGAACCATCATGCTATAAAGTTAAAGGAAGAATTATATAATCAATTTCCTGAGGTATTTTCGAGCAGGTTGGGACAATGCATCAAATTTGAAACCAGAGTTGAATTAAAAGAAAACGTCCAACCAGTATGTAAAAAGAAGCGAAACATGCCATTTGCTACCATAGATGAAAACAAAAAAAAAGAGTTATACAAGGCAAAAAAAGGAACTACCTCGACTTTTTAAAGAGATAAGAAGAGAAGCGGAAAAGGATGAATTTATGCAGAGGACGAAGGTAAAAATACAGTCTGTGTTTGACAAATTATTACCAAACAAGAACAAAAACCAGTATACACCTATTGTACTCAAGAGATCATTTAAAACAGGAAGAGAAAATTTACCGAACCTCTAGTTATCGACCATAAGAGAAAAATTACTAACTCCCCCGAAAAGGGATCTAAGGAGGGGGGGGTCCACCCTTTTTTATACAAGGGACTCGCCCAGTGTGTACTTGTACTGCTGCTGGTCAATACCCGGAAGTGAGACAGTGAGAGAGTGAGGTAACCACTTTGTAGGAGTCACAGTTGCGAGCACGTAGACTCGGAAGGAAGTCATACTTCGATACTGAATTTCCCAGACTGTATATATATTATTATTGCTACTAACCGTATTTCTGGATCTACTAACCGTATTACCAATTGTATTATTATGTCAATACATTTATTTGCTATATTTCATTCCTGCATTTGTCATTCATTTGAGACCGGATTTCATCCCGGAATCCACAACAGTAATGATTGTAATAAGTCAAACAATCGACCTGTAATACCATAACTCTGGAGCTTGCAAAGAAGGCCAACATGCCAAACCCTATCAAACGCTTTGGAGATGTCTAGAGCCATGGCACAAGCTTCTCTGTTATTCTGAAGAGCTTGGTAGACAATTTCAGTGATGGCCGTAAGCACATCAGCTGTAGATCAGGTAAAGTGGAAACCATATTGCTTATCTGAGAGCAGATCATGGGATGTAAGGTGGTTAACCATTTCAGCGTTGATTAAAGCTTCGAAGACATTGCCTGATAGGACGGTAATTAGATGGGTCAGAGGGGTCGCCAGGGTTCTTAAAGACAGGAACAATCGATGAGGACTTCCAGCACTCTGGAAAACAAGATTCCTTGAGGCAGTAGTTGTGTAATATGGAGAGGGCAGGTGCACATTTCTTCAAGACAATGACTGGTATCCCATCTCCACCACTAGCATTGTGGGGGTTTAAATTAGAGATAATGCCCAATACCAATGACGGAGTTATGTGCAACTCACTCAAAAGGGCCTCAGTTTTAAAAGGGAAATTGGGTATGGGTACACTGGAAGAGTTGAGCATTGAATTGAATGAAAATTTCCAAGCAAAGCATTCAGCCTTGTCGGCAGAGGAGGTCAGGACTTTGAACTGGTTGAACAAAGTAGGTATAAAGGGTTTGCTACTGTTTAGTATGCTCTCGCAGAGATGCCAATAATCCTTGGAGCCAAATTTGTGAGAAGCAATACGTTCCTTCATTCATTGAGGACACACTTAAACTAGTTACAGGCAGAGGCAAAGAGACGTCTATTGCAATCGGACATGTTGCTATTATAGAGGTGGAAGAAGTGGTTCCTATGGGCAATGGCAACTGAGCTAGCAGCAGAGAAACTAGAAAAAAAAATTTGATTTGACCTTATATTTCCTTGAGGGATGAAATGTCGATTCCATGGGGAAGTCAACTATCTGACGTGAGGGATCTAAACTGAAAAATTAAGTGTTTGAATGCCTGCAAAAGGTCAGTAGTAGCATTATAAAAAGCCACTTGGTATGATGATGCCTTAAAATCGCCAAACACTAATATGTGAGCAAATGGATGGAGAGAGAGAGAGCCTTGTCTATGCTAAAAGAAATGCTACCAATTATTCCGCAGTCTTGAAAGGATGAAGAACGATAAAGGAAGAAGTGATAGCTTACAGCATTGAGAAGAGATAGCTGGAGACACAAGTACAAATAGTCTGGTGATTCAAGAGACAACTCTCTAGCCAGTGGGAGATGGTCCTTGACGTAAACACCAAGGCCATGCATGTGGGTTTGAGAGTCTTTTCTAAGGAGAGGGAAGTAGCCAGGGACCGAAAGATCAGAGGAGAGGATAGACGGGTCAAGATTGGTCTCACACAGAGCCAGAATATCCAGTCAGTTTGCAGTGATTTCTTTTCCACGCTGCAGAAATTGAATTCTAATGCCACGGATGTTGGAGAATGAAAAGTTGAAGGGTTTGGGTGATTTTGAAGGGCTGGTTTAGTATTTAATTTTTTCGATCTTTGTAAGTCATCATGTGGAATTCTGGTTGGAAGATGAGAAGGCCTGAAGTAAAAAAAAAAAAAAAAAAAGCAGATGGTTATCGACCGTGACATGGGCAGAGAGAAGTTGGCAAAGCCTGCATCATAATGTGACCTCAGGGTTGCCCACCAGAAGTGACTGCAGGGACACATTTCCATGCACGACCAGGCACTACAGACACCCCAGTATTATACAACTGTTGATCAGAGTATTTAAATTGAAGATGCCACACAAGAGTTAGGGCTCCTAACTACCAGCTGTAAACAGCTACCAGAAAACTGTCAACTGTGTACCTTCAGAATGAAGAGGTAATGCCACAGACTGCACACATCACGGGAGAAACATGGCAGCACTTGTACAGAGGTCAGAGAGAGGGAGAGAGAGTGTTCTGGGAACCCCTTCCTAAACAAGAAACAAGGTGTGAGCCTCTAAACTTGTCCAAGGGAAGGGGGAGTGGTACTGACCGGGCAGTAGGAGAGCCTACCTACTCCTATTTAAAATGTTTAAAATATTTATGTTAAAACAGCTTAGAGAGTTTAGGAACAATCAGACACATTTCAAGCATGAATGGCATACTGGAGTATGCTAATTCAAGCCACAGTGTCTGCTCCACTGAATTAAATGTGGAAAGTAAAATAAGAACCACATTACTTTTACATCCAAAAATGTTATTACCAAGATGGCCTGATTTCAAGTGAGTGAGTTATCGCCCTTGGACTGTAACCAACACAAACTTTGCTTTGTAATTATTTATTTTGTAATTTGGAAAAGTTAGAAATAAATTAATAAAGAAAATAAATTACCTTAGGAAGGGATATGTTATAACAACATCAACAATTATGATGATTGTAAGCACTTTCAGTCCCACTATGGAATGCTTGGGAACATAGATCCAGTGGGGAGTTTGAATAAGTTGTTGTGTTTACCATGTTTCGTCTTCTTTGTGTTGTTTCAACTTTTCAGCAGCCAGTCTCATATAACTTATCGTTCCTCTCTAAGCCCAGTGGCACAAATTTTGTTATTTTTAAACTTCTAAATTATATAGGAAAGAAAAAGTAACTGCTTTATTTCCATTAAATCTTGTTTGTTATTTCTGAAATCTTAATGAGAAAAAGCTTTAATGTGATTTTAATATTTTGATACTTCTTCATGAGGATGATGGAAATAAATATTAAAATCAAAGTCTATGTGTGTCTGTAACTAAAAATGATGTTATCTTTATTTTTATTTGTTTTTTCAGGTGATGCTGGTGTAGGAAAAACAAGCTTTCTTTTTCAATATACAGATAATACTTTCAATACAAAATTTATATCTACAGTTGGAATAGATTTTCGAGAAAAAAGAGTGGTAAGTTTTTAAATTTGATTTGGAATAAGAAAAAATTTAAGTAGAGACTTACCACATTAAATTTTGTATTTTTCTTATTAAGAATGAAAATTTTTAAATTTTTCGAGTATAAAGCATCAGAATTCTTGTGACAATTTTCTATATGATACCCATAAATAGATATTTATATTTTATGTAAGGTTTTCCCTTTTTTCCTCTTAATAAAATTATTCAGTTTTCATTTATCATTAGACATGTACACATTAACAATAATATTAACTTTTTGTACTGCACAACACTATGTTCATTTATGTAGACAAGGACCAAAAACTATTCAAATTTTGATCAATTAAAAATAGAGGTAAACACAGATTTACATAATTTATACTATTCCCAATTTACAATAAATTTTCCATTTTTATCAAGACCTTCATGGGACCAGAACAGCAATATTAAAGATTACTTCAGGAAGTTAACTGATACAGAATACAATTAAAAGGGCAGTTTTATCTATTTTAGTCTTAATAGACTGCTAACAATTATTGAAATCAGTTCCATGGTATAATCAATTGTCTGGTATTAAGAGTGAGGCTTGGTGTTGACCTGGCCTGAATTTTAAGTTTGTCTTTAGAGATGTCATACCTCTTGAGTGGCTGAATACTAACATCAGTAAATCAGTGATTTTTACTAGCTTATTTTAATTAATACTGATTTACAAAAATATAATTACATTTTACCAAGAGCAATAAAAAAAATACCCATTACTAGTCTTCTATAGTTCAATAGTGATGTTTTTAGCCTTCATAAGGCACAATAATTGATACTGTGGTATCAATAATGGTATCCTTATTGGTTGACAGCTACAAAAGCCACATGGCTAGCAGTGTACCCAGTACAATGTGTTAACTTTAGATGTGACTTGACGCATTGTTACCCACTTCATTGAGTAGTCATCCTCTTTGTCAGTCATTTGCAGTCCCATTTTTGTATCACCTGTAAGCAATCAATTTTCAACTGAGATCCATCAAGAATTCAGACATTCTTGGTATACTCTAGCTACTACTTCCCCAAAAAACAGCAGTTTTCCTTGTCTTTCTGGGATCTAGCAATCATCCTGTGGTTAAATGTTGCTAATTCCCATCCATCTTCATTAATGCCATATCAACACTACCTAACTACGTATTATGTCATACATATCATTCAGCCAAGTCTTTTTTACAAGTGGAGACAGACAGGATGAGACAGAGTACTTCAGCTTATTTCTTTTTCTGTCTTCTTGAACTAAGTCTAGTTATCTAATATCAATTTTCAACAATTTTTGCTGTGTATTTTCAAAATTAAATATGATTGGTTTAACAGGAACCAAATATAGTTTCAGGCAATGTCACTAATCCTCATAAATGCCTCATATCTTGAAATGTCTATTCTTATTCTTTTGCAAGCAAATTAAGAAACCTTCATTTTTGAAGATTTTATAATTTTTAAAAACTTTCATAATTTTTAAACCCTTGATCTGACATTTGATATACTTGCTAATTTGACCTGTATACATGGCAGCAGCCCCCCAAAAACTTAGATAGGCAGGTACAAGCGGAGGAGGACAACAACACTCAGAAAACAGTCTGCCTGTGAAGAGGTTATCAGAGAAGATACAAAGGATCTGCAGTTCATATAACATCAGGACAACCTTCAAAAGCTGGACGACACTTTGCAGATACCTCTCACGAGTAACCCCCTCCCCCATTGAGGAGAACATGACTAAAGATTGTGTGTATGCTAAAGAAAGAAATATAAAGATAAGACAGGCCATCCCCTTAAGGTAAGGCTTCAAGAACACCAGAAAGCTGCAACATGAGGGGGAGTGGAAAAATCAGGCATGGCTGACCACATATGGAGAGAAAATGGAGATCACCAACCTCTGTGGGATCAGGTTAAGATCATAGACAAAGAACATCATTGGAAAATATGTAAACTTAAGAAATCAGCACATATGCTAGGCCACAAAAATCTCCTGAGCCAACCAAGCATAGAAATGAATACAATATGGGAACCATTAATAAGGAGTGCCAGAGAAAAGCAACAATAACAACAAAAAATTGCAATATGAGCTCTGGTAAAAACATGAAATTGCAATATAAAAAATGGTTGCTGAAGACATTCGGTTTATAATACCCAGAAAATCATACACAAGGACACATGGCACAGTGGATAAATGCGTTAGTTAGATCCAGTGACAGGGCCCAAAGAGCATTAGTTCAATACCTGCTTAAGGCGGTGGAGTACTTGGAAAGGGGAATTAACAGGAGATAACTGATAACTGACATCCATTAGACATGGCACGTGGAACTAGAACAGTCTACCCCAGGAAGCGAAATAAAGGGTTCAGTTCGAAATTCCAACCACCTGAAGAAGGCCGGAGCATACAACATCCAAAACATTGTAATATGGCGACAAAGATGAGGACAATAGTCCGAATAATGTAAATAGTGTACATAATACCTCATCTCAGAAATATAGACAGAGCTGTAAGCTGTCTATAGAATGGCAAAAATTATTTTTCTTGCCTGTTCTGTCTGTTCCTAAATATCCTAAACTATCTGTAGTTTGATATTGAAAGAGACTTGCCAAATTTACATATGAGCAGATAATACTTCTACATCTGTTGAATCTCATACTCGCAACAATACAACAATGGTGCTGGATCAGAGTATTTTTATTACAATTTCATGAACCTGACCTTATTGAAAAGTGGCTATGATGTTTTGAAGTCCATACTACATCAAAGAAATCCAAAAAATAAAACCAAGGAAGCGAAAGTGAAATCAACAATTTATTTTTAGTGTCAGCAGGATTCAAGGCAATCATGAAAATCTTATTAATGACATATATCCAAAAGAACTGAAATAATTAAAAATATTAGATAAAAAAGAATATGGTTATATCTTTAAAACAAAAGTCCAGTGAACCAATTATTAAATTTTTACATTTGCTAAGAGAGACCAGCAGATACTGCAAATTCGAAAAATACTTGGAAGAAGAATTAATCTAGTTAAGATTAACTGATGGTATGTACAACATATGTTGAAACAATTACCAATGTGCAAAATGCCACTGAATTCATGTGTTGACTTCATACAAGAGTTGATAAAAAATTGATCTCTTCTGAAAATTGCAGATACATACATGAAAAAGACGATGAAATTAAAATACAAATATTATAATTACAAATGCAAACAATGTAAAAAGAAAAATCATTTTAAAAAAAACGCATAGATCTTAAAAAAAAATGGAAGAGAATGCAGAAATCAAAACTGCTACAGGAAAAAGAAATTGGTAAAAAAATTAAATTCAATGAAGTAACATTCTTCACTGTGCCACATCCCTTCAGATCATGGATGATCATGACTCTCCAAAGCTCCCTATCCTCATAGCAATTTTTCTCTCTTTACTAAAGCAAAGATAACCCATTCCACTGTTGCACATTTCATTCACACACACTCATCAGGTAGGTAGCTTACTGCCTTCACCTCTCTTCCTTGTATCCAGTATGCCCTGTGAGGATTAACCCTTCTTGCTTATTATGGGTCCAAGGAATTTCAGCCTGAAAAGGAAAATTCTTCCTGTGTTCTTTTTGTTGCCATTATTTTTAAAACTTCCTCATTGCTTACTTGCTCCATCCATGAAATTCTCAGTATCTTTCTCCAAAACCATATTTCTGTTGCTTCAAATTTTTGCCTCATCTCTGGAGAGATTGTCCAGCATTCACTGCCATATAAATTATTCTCTTACTCAGCATTTTGCTTAGCTTTTTAAAGACCCCTTTCGCTAGTCCAATGCGTGTTTGGATTTCAGTGTTGCATTTTCTATCATCTGATAAAACGTATCCCAGATATTTAAAATTCTGTACTTGCTAAATGTTGACACCCCAATTTGTAACTCATATTTTGGGCTTTTTCTCTTGCTTTGTCTTCTTGCAGTTATTTGGTGCTTTTTACTCACTTTTCTTTACTACCCTATCTAGACGTTCTTGTAGTTTTCTTTCTGTGTCAGCCATCAATACAGTGTCATCTGCGTATCTTATATTATTAAGATTATGCCCACTAATAAATCTTGGTAGGGTCTCCAGTTCCCGTAGGATAGCCATGCTATGGAGCCTGAATAAATCTGAGGAAATAGACACATCCTTGTCTTATGTACCTTTCTATTTACTCAAATTCATTTTCTATTTGTATGTAACAGTTTGCTCCCAGTATAAGTTCTAGATTATTCTAGCATCCTTTCCAATCCTTGTGTCGTATCTTGTCAGATGCTTTTATGTAATCTATAAGGCATAAGTGCATATCCTTCTGCATTTGTATTGCTCTGTGATATCATTCTGAGGCGAATAAAGAAAACAGTAACCAGCGAGTAAATTCAAGCTCTCCCAGCTGGTATTTCAACCTTGAGTCGTTCCTTCTTGAGTTCTGTCTCAAGATCACACTAACTGCCCGTTCTTGCTGTCAACCGTGAACATCCCTCGAAGAACTCCCCGACTCGGAAAAAAGTAGTTGCTTTTATAGTTGTTCATATAGCCATAATCCCTTGCGTCTTCATGTGATCCCATAATTCATTGCGTCCATGTCCCATAATGCATTGCATCTTTATTGCATAAAAATGCAATGCCAGTCCCCCCTCATTCTTTTACGTTATCTGGCCGAGGATGGATTACGGCAGAGCGGTAAGTGCTTTTTTTCTCTCCCTCATTTCAACTGCAGTAGCTTTACATGCTAAGCAAATACGGGCTCTTTTTTGGCGGGGACAAGGCAAGTCGCGACCAGTTGTGCTTGTCCCAGGTTCTGTCTCATGTCCGCCACACATTCTGATCATGAACATTATATTCCAGTTCCAATGTCCTTGACAAAGTTGCACAGTTCTTGTCCTACTCTGTGTTCTATTCATCAATAGTTTGGTTATGTAGCTCATTATACTGATTGTCTGATGGAGCTCTTATTCATTTGCACCTGGTTTCTTAGGTAATGTTA